TTGAATTTGTCATTCCTAGTATAGTAAACCATATGATTGTCCAGTTCAAAATGCCCAATACCACTCCATTTCAGCTCACCGATGCCTAGGATGTTGATCTTTATGCATTTCATTTCCTTTATGACAACTTCCAATGTTCCAGTTATTAATGGATGTTTACAACAGTTTCTTTTCATTTTGAGTCACACCCCATTGGCAAATGAAGGCCCCAAAACTTTGCTCCATTCACATCATTAAGGTCGACTCTACTTTAAAGGTCAGTTTTTCCCTAGTCGTATTTTGAATGTCTTCCAACCTGAAGGTACAATATCAGACCATGTTCCACTGCTATTCATAAGGTTTTCATTGGCTAATTCCTCAGATGTGGACCTCCTACTTCTCCTTCCTAGTAGATCTTAGTCTGGAGGCTTAAACGAAACCTGTCCACCATGGGTGACCCTGCTGATATTTGCAATGCCAATGGCATAGCTTCCAACATCACAGCAACATGCAAACCACCACAGTATGACAACCACTAGTGTGTATTATTATTGTTGTAGTGTAAGTGGTTACGTGTGCAACAAGTAGCTTAAAGGTTGACAGTTTAAACCCACCCAGTGGCACCTCGGGAAATAGGCTTGGCAACCTACTTTTTAAAGATCACAACCTTGAAAACCCTATGGAGTAATTCTACTTTGTGCACGTAAGGTTGTCATAAATTGGAATGGAAAACAACATGCACCTGTTAAATGAGGGCAGGAGGAATGCCCTGGCTGTCAATGGGGTTCCTGGGACCATCCCCCATAGTGGGCTTTGGGAGGGTAAGGTTGGTGGGTTACGGAGGGAAGTTTGGGAAGTTGACGGGCTAAGGGAATTATTCCAGGGGTGACTCTCACTCCCTGCCCCTCCTGTAGGCTCCTAGCTACCAGTGGTGATGATGACCTTCCTGGGGACCTGCAATCACTATCCTGGCTTACGGCCGTGGATGTGCCTCGGTTGCAGCAGATGGCGAGTGGCCGCATGGACCTGGGTGGCCATAGTACGCCACACCCACACCCAGGTAGGCTCGGGGGCAACGGGAGATGGGATGCTAACAAGAGCAGAAGGGAGGGGTGTCCACTCAAAGTGCTGCCCCCACTCACTGTGTAGCCCCAGCCAGATCACCCCCATCTCTGAACCTCTATTTTTGCATCTGCACATGTGACTAAGTCTACCTTCCTCAGAGTCGTGTGGTTCATTCATCCCCTCACTGACTATGTGTCGGGTCGGGTCCTGTGAGTGCTGAGGTTCCAATGAAGAATCCAGGCAGACCTGTCCTGCTGCTTCCTCAACATGAGGATAGTTGACGAACTAGGGTCCCCAGGCCAAATCTAGCCTATGGCCCATTTGTACAGTTAAGAATGGTTTTTTGCATCTTGGAAGAGTTGCAAAAAAAGCAAATTTGTTTTTCTTAAAAAAAAAATTAGACAAGACTATGGGACAGAGATCACATGTGATTAGTAAAATCTAAAACCTGTTGTTGTCAAAGAGTCCTGGTGTGGCACTATAGGACAAGCAGTGGATCACAAGGTTGGTTTGCACCACTAGGCTGGGTTTCCAACTCACCAGTCGCTCCTCGGAAACCCTGTTCAGGGTCACTGTGAGTCAGAACCAACTCGACAGCACTTAACAACAACAACAGTTGTCAAGGAGCCCTGATTGTATAGTGGATTATCCTTTGGGCTACTAACTGCAAGGTCAGCAGTTCGAATCCACCAGCTACTTTGTGGGAGAAAGATGAGGCTTTCTTCTCTTGTAAAGATTTACAGCCTTGGAAACCCTATACAGGGTTGTTATGAGTCAAAACCAAGTTAACGGCAAATAACCAACCACCTCCACCTCTACTAGGTGTTGTCAAGTTGATTCTCACTCATGATGACCACGTGTACAGAATGGAATTGCTTCATCAGGCCTGCAAGGCTGTGACCTTTTGGAAGCAGATTGTCAAGCCTGTCTTCCAAGGCACCTTTGTTTGGATTTTTCTGCTCATATTCAAGCACTTAGCCTTGTGTGCCACCTAGGGTCTCCAAAATATTTACTGTTGTTTTTCAAAGGACAGCAGAAGGTCCTTGAAGGGGTGTTGTGAGGATTCAATGTGGAAAGCGCTTCCTATACAATAACTGCAGAAACCAAACCCAGCATACAGCTCTTGAATTGGTTCCATCTCATAACCACCCTGCATAGGGTTTCTGAGGCTGTAAATCTTTCTGGAAGCAGAAGCCTCGTATTTTTCCCTTGGGGCAGCTGGTGAGTTTGAACTACAGACTTTGTAGTTAGCAGTCCAGTGCTTTCTCTACAACACCACCAGGTGTCAACCGATGGTAACTGTGAAATAAAGAAGCTACTGGTGACCGAGGACCCCTTCCTCCTTCACGGAATCTGCTGAGAGCTCCTGTGTACCTGGTACTGTGCCAGGTGTTCGGGGTCCTGGTTTTCAGGGAGTTGATGGATTGGCCAGACAAAAGGATAAGGCAGTCATGATGAGGCACAAACAATGAGCCCAGAAGGCAGCCAGAACTCAGATCTGAGGGATCTGGAAGTCTTCCTGGAAGACATGGCTCTAGAGCTGGATCACTTTGCAGGCTGCTTGTTTGGAGGCGACTGTGGAAATCAGGCAGGTACAATGAGAATCTGCAATGGATTAGCAATGCCTGTCTCAGACCAGGCATAGGAAGAGGGGTACATCTGTTATTCCTGAGCTAATCCTTGGTAGAGAAGTAAGGACTGGCAAAGGGGTGACAAGACAAGAAAGCATTTGGACCTAAAATTAGGGGCACTAGGGAGTCCTGGTGGGGAGCTATAGGATAAGCACTGGACCACAAGGTCAGTGTGAACTGCAAGATTGGCAGTTGAAACCCACCAGCAACTTCTTTAAAATCCTATACAGGGTTGCTATGAGTCAAAACTAACTCGATGGCACTTAACAACAAGGAAGCCATGAAATTTTTTGGAGGAGAAATGAGCAATGAATTTGTGTTTTAGCTTCGTGAAGAATTGTTGTTACGTGCTGTCCAATCGGTTCTAACTCATAGTGACCGTATATAGGGTTTCTGAAGAGCAGCTAGTGCAGTTGAATTGTTGACCTTGTGGTTTGCAGTCCAGTGCTGACCCTTCAATATCGCATACAAATTGTTGTTGTTGTTAAGTGCCATCGAGTTGGTTTGGACCCATAGTGACCCTGTATAGGGTTTCCAAGGAGCAGCTGGTGAGCTTGAACCGCCGACCTTTCAGTTCAAATGGCTTTGCAGTCTGGCGCATTAACCCACAGCGCCACACCAGGACTCCAGACCACGAATAGGAGCCTAGATATATTATTATTGTTGTTGTTGTTGTTATACTCATATTTATTGAGATATAATTTTATGTCTAACAATGTACTAAGTACTCTGTAGATTTTATCTTGTTTAACTCACACATCTTTGTTGTTGTTGTGTACCAGTGAGTCAGTTCTGACTCATAGCGACCCTATATGGGGTTTCCGAGAGCAGCTGGTAGGTTTGAACTGCCAACCTTGCAGTTAGCAGTCCCCAGTGCTTATCCTTACAGCCCATACCAGGGTTTTCACACAACTTTATGGATAGGTAATATCATTAGCCCCATTGTACAAATGGGGGAACTGAGGCTGGCTCAAGGTTACTAGCTAGAAGGCACCCCACTCTTTGGAACCGTATCCCTAGAAAGTCATTTGCATTTACCTTCTATACACCAGGACCTGAGGATGAGTGGGCTGAGCCTTTAGAGATATTCCTTGCCCATGGCCACCTCTAGCACAGAGACACTATGCTTCCTTCCTACAGGTGCTTTGGGGGTGCCTGACCTGCATGTGGGAGCCACCCCAGGTCCACTGCTCCAAGGGCCAGCCAGCATGGCCCCTCCAGGCATCCTGGGCCTGAGCTCCCTGGTCAGCCATGGAGCCAGCGTAAGTGTCACGACATGGGGCTGGGGAGGGAGGGTGGTTGTCCCCCAGAGTTGGGTGCTCGCTCCTGCCTCCATCCTGACCCTCTGTCTCCTGCTCTCCGGCCCGGACAGATGAGCTCATTCCCAGTGGGAGGCCAGTCTCCAGCCGGCCTGCAGGAGACACGACTTTACCCACCTGCCGCCCAGCCACAGTTCCCGATCCCCCAGGGCCAGCAGGTACCACGGGCTGGGGAAACAGGCAGACACTCCTGGCTTGGGTGGGCCAGGACCTATCCAAGCCTTGGTTTACTCACATATCATGACTCCCATCACAGGTGGGACAAGATTGTCTCATAGGTTCTGAGGTTGGGGTAGGGGCTGGGTGTGTCTGTGATGGATGTTTACTCTCCCTCACCTTCTCTCTCTACCCTGCCCCTGCCCATGGGAAGTGCCCCCCAGCAGGCCTGTTTGGATCCCCATTTGGGGCTCAGCCTCCCTACCACCAGCCCCGTGTGGCTGTGCACTCACCTCAGGAGCTGCATCCTAAACACTACCCCAAGCCCATCTACTCATACAGGTGAGGTTCAGGGTGGGACTCAGGGAGTGGAGGGTGACGATCTGTCTCTAGGGCCTCTTAGGCAGCAAAACATAGTACCCAGACTTTCCAGGGAAAAGTTTTGGGGTGTAGGGACCCCCAGGTGGGAGCCGGTCTCAGACAAGACCATCATATATTCATATACTACTTGGAGATGAGAAAATACTCCAGACACTGAGCAGTGTCCCCCTCTGTCACTCACATGCTGTGTAGCCTTGGGGAAGTGGCTTGGCTTCTCTGAGCTTTTTTATATCCTCAGATGTAAAAAAATGATCATAGTAACACTAATGTGTACATGCTACTCTTAACATGAGTGTTCAAGGAAGCAGCTTAGATAAAACCTAAAGCCCCGTTGTTGTTGTTGTTGTTGTTGTTGTTATGTGCCGTGTAGTCGGTTCCGACTCATAGCGAGGCTATAAATCTTTATGGGAGCAGAAAGCCTCATCTTTCTCCCGTGGAACAGCTGGTAGTTTCAAACTGCTGACCTTGAGGTTCGCAGCCCAATTCATAACCACTACGCTACCAGAGCTCCTTAGACATTATTAATTTTTAAGAGCAAATGAAGAAGAAAAGATAAGCGTTCTCAAATCAGTGCCAATGAATGAGCCTAGGGCCAAGGTGAGGCCCCCAACCTGCTGCCATTGAGTCAGTTGTGACTCACAGTGACTTTATAGGAGAGCGTAGAAGTATGCCCTGGGGCTTCGGAGACTCACTATTCACAGAAGGAGACAGCTTCATCTTTCTCTCTCTGAGTGTCTGGGTGGTTAGCAGCCCAAGGTGTAACCTATGACAAAGAGGATGGGAGAGGTGTTGGGACCTGACAAGGTATTGAGAGCTAATGGGGTGGGGGTGTGTAGGGTGGGAAGGGGAGGGGACCCTGGGCTGTCAGCCTGAGGCCCTTCACGCCTATTGCTTCATCTCTTGCACTAGTTGTCTGATTGCTATGGCTCTGAAGAACAGCAAGACGGGCAGCCTCCCTGTAAGCGAAATCTACAGCTTCATGAAGGAACACTTTCCCTACTTCAAGGTGAGGGGCCCTGGTCCAGGTGTGTGTGGGGGTGGGGGGGTGTCTGCAACCTATAGTAAGGACACCTGTACATGTACACTCACATACAGACAAGGGCATAGAAATCTAGAACAGGAAAGGGACATTTGAATTGGGCTCTGATGGACGAAGAGGTGTTTACCAGACACCCAAGAAGGCAAAAGGTGCAATCTACTGATTCAGCACAGACTCAGTAGAACATCATGAAAAACACAGGCCTGGCAGGAACCCTCCTCACCTCGCTGAACCTCAGTATCCTCAACTGGAAGAGGAGGAGAATAAATAATACCCAAGCTGGACAGTGAATAAGGAAGATTACAGAAGAATTGATGCTTTTGAGTTATGGTGTTGGAGGAGAATATTGAGAGTGCCATGGGCTGCCAAAAGAACCCACAGATCTGTGTTGGAAGAAGTGCAGCCAGAGTGCTCCTTGGAGGCCAGGATGGCCAAACTTCATCTCTCATACTTTGGACATATTGTCCGGAGGGAGCAGTCACTGGAGAAAGATATCATGTTTGGTAAGGTGGAGGGTCAGAGAAAAAGAGAAAGACCCCCAGCGAGATGGACTGACCAAGTGGCAGCATCAATGGACTCAAGTGTGGTAACAATAGTGAGGTTGGTCCAGGATCAGGCAGTGTTTCGTTCAGTTGTGCATAAGGTCACTATGAGTTGATACTGACTTGATGGCACCTAACAACAACAACAAACATAGGCAGCTTGGTTTGAACCACATGGTTGGTGGTTCAAATTCACCAGCTGCTCCTTGGAAACCTTAGACAGGGTCACTATGAGTTAGAACCGACTCTATGGCACTTAGCAATAACAGGAAGCTTAGTGGGGATTCTGCTTGCAAAGAAAGTGGCAGTCATCTTTTCCTTGTTAGCATCAAAGCAAAAAGGGAGAGCAGGTGAGTGTTTCAGGAGGCCAGAAATAACAACCTGCAGGGTCCCTAGCCTGGGCAGTGTCTGTAGCAGAAATATTGTGCACAATGATGTGTGTGTCTGTGTGTATGAGGTGTGAGGTGCATTGCACTGGCTGATTACACAACATTACACTATGAATGGTTAAAAACAGTTTACATTTAATACACTAGCCCAATTAGAATTATCCATGTATTGTTCTCACTTGCTTCCTGAGAAGGACAGAAGAGCGTGGAGATTTCAGAGCCCTAGACCTTGCTCCTGAATAGTAAAACTTGGCCAGAGCTTGATAGTGTTGTGTGCCCTCCAATTTGCCACAGTCCCCACCACTCTCTCTTGTCTCTCCAACCGGAGGCTGCAATGGACATGGGGATGTCCCCCTGCCACTGTTCTGGGTGCCCATTTCTGTCCATAGACGGCCCCTGATGGCTGGAAGAACTCCGTGCGACACAACCTGTCCCTGAACAAGTGCTTCGAGAAGGTGGAGAACAAGATGAGCGGCTCGTCACGCAAGGGCTGCTTGTGGGCCCTGAACCTGGCCCGCATTGACAAGATGGAGGAGGAGATGTACAAGTGGAAGAGGAAGGACCTTGCCGCCATCCACCGCAGCATGGCCAACCCAGGTGAGGCCAATGGGCCTGCACGCGCACACACCTCACAACCATACAAACACCACACACACCATGGACACACCATACAACCACACAGACATACCACACACCCATCACACATACACACAGCACACACACCACACTGTGCACACCCATACCTGCACATAGCAGATGCATACCACACCATATACACACATACTGCACACCTCAACATATACCACCACACTTCCATGCACACCCCAAGCAGCCCCCACACATAGTTCCACAACATGCTACACCCATACACCTCATACATCCCCCGACATACATACTCATAGTCCACACCCATCCCATCAGCTCCCATCCCAGTCCCTGATGACCCTGTCCCTGCAGTCTGTCCCCCTGCACCACCAGGCCCAGCCCCAGGCACACCAGCCCCAGCCCAGACCCCACCTCTTCACGCTCTGCCAGACCTGCCCAGATACACCCCATCACCCAGCTCAGCCCTGGTTCTGCCTGCCACCTACACAACCAGTGACACATCCCAGCCACACTGCTGGGAAGGCAGGTACCTGGAGAGACCGCCCCCTGTGGAACATGGCTTGCTCTCTACAACCCCAGCCAGTGGCCGGCAAACTGAGAGACCTGATCAGAAACACAAAAAGCGACCACCAGTTTCTCACAGAGACATGTAAATTAAACAACTATGAGAGCACACTGACTTCCTTCCACACTGGCAGAAATTTGAAAAATAATAAAAATAGTAACACTGAGTGTAGGCTAGGAGGTGGACAAATTGGCAGGTCTCCTCATTCACAATCGGTGGGAATATATACTGCTGAATTTTCAAGGGCCATGTTTTTACTTGTTACTGTCCACTCTATCCAAGAGCATTCAGGGGGGTCCACTTTTTAACCCACAGAAAGGAGCAGCTGGGGACCCTTACATATTCATAGATATGACCTGGTCTCATGGGATTTGTAATCCCTGCCTTACCTCTCGCTTTCGGGGCTGTGATGTGGTTCAAGTGAACTTCTACGGTCGTGGGATTATCCTATAAGACACTGTCCACATGTAAGGGGCTAAGGGTCCTTGGTGGCACAACAGTTAAGCTCTCGGCTGCTCACCAAATGTTGGTGATTTGCAATTGTCCAGCAGCTCTGCAGGAAATCGGACAACCTGCGCCCATAAAGATGATAGTTTAGAAAACCTCAGGATGAGTTCTATTCTGTCACATGGGGTTCCTGTAAGTTAGAACTGAGTAACCATCCACCACCAACAGTATTTCATTGTCTGACGGTTCCTCTCACTCCTCAAAGACCCCACACAACCCATGGTTTCATGATGTTTCTACTATCACCCTGTGCAATGTGCAATGCTATGAAACAGATGAGGAGACTAAGGTTCAGAATGCACAGGGGCTGGCTAAGCTCATGCAGGTGGGAACACTGGAATTTGAACCCAGGTCTGAGCAGATGGGTTCTAAATGACCTCTCCTACTTGCTTACAGAGGAGCTGGACAAGCTGATCTCAGACCGGCCGGAGAGTTGCCGGCGCCCTGGCCGCCTTGGGGAGCCCGAGGCCTGCATGCTGACCCACGCCACCACAGTGGCCATGGCCCACAGTTGTCTGGCCATCTCCCAGCTCCCACCCCAGTCTCTGATGACCCTGTCCCTGCAGTCTGTCCCCTTGCACCACCAGGCCCAGCCCCAGGCACATCTGGCTCCAGGCTCACCAGCCCCAGCCCAGACCCCACCTCTGCACGCTCTGCCAGACCTAAGTCCCAGCCCCCTGCCCCACCCTGCCCTGGGGAGGGCTTCAGTGGATTTCATCAACATCTCCACAGACACCAACCCCGAGGTGGATGCCCTGGACCCCAGCATCATGGACCTTACTCTGCAGGGTGAGGCTGGGGTGTGGGACGATGGTAACAGAAGGGCTGGGGCAAGGAGATGGGAAAACAGAAGGGATGACTGTCTGCGTGTGACCCTGAAGCCCCATTCTGCTGCTCTCACCTTCAACAGCATTTCCTAACCACCTGATAACAGTGAGAAACAGCAAACGTTTAATGAGCACTTACTACATCCCAGCCACCATCCTTAGCACTTTCTAGACATTATTTCATTTCAACCAGGCAACAGTCCTGGGAGGTTCCTTCCATTTCATATACCTAGATGAGGAAGCAGAAGCAAAGGAAAGAAAAGCCAGTGGCCCAGGGTCACCCTCATCAAGAAGTCAGGTGGTGACTCAGTGGTAGAATTCTCTGGTAGCATAGTGGTTACGAATCGGGCTGCAAACCACAAGGTGAGCAGTTCAAAACTACCAGCCGCTCCACGGGAGAAAGATGAGGCTTTCTGCTCCCATACAGATTTACAGCCTCGGAAACCCTGTGTAGGGTCTCTATGGGTCGAAACCAACTCCACAGCACATAACAACAACAACATGTGCCAGCCTTAGCCCTCATGGAGCTGTGTCTAGGAGGGAATAGTCAAGTTAGCAGGTGGATGCTGTTAAATGCTGTCAAGTCAATTCTGACTCATAGCGATCCTATATAGCGTTTCCAAGGAGCAGCTGGTGAGCGTGAGTTACCGCCTTTGCAGTTCAAACGACTTTGCAATCTGACTCATTAGCCTTAGGAGCTGTGAAATAGGTACATTAGAGCCTCCTGGGATTACTGTGGAGTTGAAATGTGCGGAGGAAAGGGGGAAGCTTGTTCTGCTTCCATGCCTTTGACCCTGCTGGTGCCATAATAGGATCTTAGTGCTCTAATGGCCATCATGTCATTTAAACCTTGCCAGCACTTGTTGGTGTTAAGTGCTATCGAGTCGGTTCTGACCCATAGCGACCCTGTATAGGGATTCCAAGGAGCGACTGGTGAGCTTGAATCACCGACCTTGTGGTTCAAAAGGCTTTGCAGTCTGCTTGCCAGCACTAGGAGGTGGGTTTTCTGATTACACCCATTTTAGTCCAAGAAACCAAGGTTCAGAGACAGATGTGACTTTCCCAAGGACCCCCAGGGCAGGTGAGCTGGAGCCCCGACTAGCTCCTCCACACTTTCCCAGCAACAGTGTGAACCCCCACCCCTTTCCCCACTACCACCGCGTGCTCTTTGCCTCCTCCCTTAGACCAGCGTTTGAACTCCATGTATGGCTGACTTACCCAGATGTTTTGTCTTTGAAAGGAAACCTCTGGGATGAGATGAAGGAAGAGGGCTTCAGCCTGGATACACTGGAGGCCTTTGGAGAGTCCCCACTTGACTGTGATCTGGGGGGCCCAGACCTGAACCCCATCTCCGGAGGCAGTGACCAGTCCTTCTCAGATTTGCAGGTGACAGGGCTGTATGCTGCATACCCCACCCCGGACAGTGTGGCTGCCTCAGCTTCCACCCCCTCCTCTCAGTACTTGGGCACCCCAGGGAACAAGCCCATAGCCCTGCTATAAGCTAAGGTGCTCCAGGGCCAGCCCCCACCTCCCAGCGAGACCCTGTCTGAGAACTGACTGAAGCAGGGGATTTCTGGAAGAAAGGTCCCCCAGTTCCCATTGGCCCCTTTTGAGCCTTGTGGGGCTCTTTCTCTGGGTGTCCCCCCCCCTTATGCCCCCCCCCCCCCCCCACACACACAGAAAGGCCCTGGACCCTCCCAAGACAGAATAAGAGGCAGCAGGGCAGCAAGCTAGACGTGTGCTCTGTACACTCCCCTGACTGGACCGAGAGACAAGAGTCCTCAAGCCTGATTCTTGCCTGGGCACCTTGTGCAGCCCAGTCTAGGGCACACTGGCAGGAATGGAAATGCCGGAAACACCGGAAGCTCCTATAATTTATTCCTCCGGAAACCTGGTGAACTAAATGAAACAAGGGCCTTAAGCCTCCAGTGGCCGGCCCTGAGGTTGGAAGTAGAATGCGGAACTTCTGGATGAACAGGCTAAACTGTAGCGTTCCTCTGCCCAGTTGGCCTCCAGCCCCCTTTCTCTGGGTGATGCTACTGATTAACATGCTCAGCTGCTAACCTGAAACATGCTTGGGAAGAAAGGCTTGGAAATCTACTTCTAAAAAAATCATCATGAAAACCCTTCGGGGCACAGTTCTGCATGAGCCGGTCTTAGATTCGATGGCAACAGGTTAGCTGGTTGTATGTTAGACTTTTATAGAGTAGACCCCTGGGTCATGTGGGCCATTGTTACTGTTTGCAAATGTATTTATATTTATTGTGGTCCCCCCACATTATCTCTGTAAACCCAGCTCAAGGCCCTTGGAATAAAACTACCCTGTCCCTGACCCAACTCCAGCACCCATAACCTCTAGAGTTGCATCTCTAACTGGCTCTTTGTTCCTTAGCGGCCATTAAGCATCCTATTTTGAAACACTGGATACCAGATTTTTTTCTTCTTCTACTTGGAGCAAGGATTCAACCCCCATTCCGTGTGCACCAAAGAGCGGAAGATGCTTGAGTTTTAGGCCAACTGGGATGGGAGTGAGAAGAGCGGGTCGGGAAGAGTTTGTACTGGAATTGAAGACACTCCCCATGGAAGGAAATACACTGTCACCCATGTTAAATGTGGTGGAGCAGCAATGTGTGATAGTTATGGAACTTGTTTGCCTATTTCTTCACCCTACTGACAATTGTGATGGTTCTTCTCTTGTCGCTAATTGTTGATTCTTCAAGGGGCCGATTCTGTAGACAGTTGGGTTAGCGGCAAGTGGGTTGGGGAAGACAGAAAGAAGATGACAAAAGACCTTCTAGCAACCCCCCCCTCCCCCAACCCTTGAGCCAGCAACCTCTGGCTAATCAAAACCTCAGCCCATTGCCTGGGAGGTTTGGCATGAAGCCCTGTCTCAAAAGACCTTCGTTAAGTCTTTCCCGTTTCTGGGAAAGGAGCCTGGGAGGCACAAGTGGTTTGAGACTGACTGCTAACCCAAAGGTTGGCTGTTGGAACCCATCCAGAAAAAAGGCCTGGGAAGCTACTTCTATGAAGATGACAGCCAAGAAAACCCACAGAGCAGTTCTACTCTGTAACACAAAGGGGCGCCTTGACTTCAGCTGACTTACTGAAAACAACTACAGTTATTCTGGGGCATTCCATAGAGAACTTTAGAAACAGCCTGTGTTGTGCGCCCTGACCAGCACCGTTTTATGTGCTGGGACCCAATAAATTATGATGTGTACATTGTTGTAATAAAGGTCCCATGTCGGGCACTGCCAGGGGTCCATACCCAACCAACACACCTCATATTCAACTACCCATCCGTCAGTGGAAGCGGCAGCGCTTTGGGAATAAAGCTAAGAAGGCCTGCCAATCCACCGCAGAGTATCAGTCATTAGGGATTACCCTAATGGATCACAATGGTCTGGTTTGCAGCCACCACAGGATGGCATAGACAGGGCACAGTATCGGTCCCGTTGTACACGCGGTCACTGTCCAACGTGTTCCTTCCAGCATGTGAGGCAGGAGTCTGAAGTCCACAGAGTTGATTCGCTTCCCAGCTGTGTCCCTGTGTGACTGTGGACCGGCATCTTCACACTGTGCTTGGCGTTCCGGTCTGCAATCTGGCGGAGCAGGAGGAGGAATTGAGAGAGGGTGGGTGGGGTGGGGGTGGAGACTGCACGGGAAAACCTTCCTGGACTCCCTTCCCCTTTCCTCCACAGCAGCTCCCTTTTCTAGGCTTTATGGACTCAGCTTTGTTTTCTGTTTTAAATTTTGTTGTTGAAAATACACGTGCAAGCATATTCCAATTCAGCAGTTTCCATATGTACATTTCAATGACATTGATGATGTTCTCAGAGTTATGCAAGCTTTCTCTCTCCTTTCTTGTCTGAGTTGTTCGTCCCCCATAAACATAAACTCACTGCCCCTAAGGTACCTATCTAACCTTTCGAGTTGCTCTTCAGTTTGATCCCATAGAGTTCTTAAAAGAGCAGAATGCTCAAGGCAGACATTCATACTAGTTACCAGGCTTTGGTTGGTGTTTTGTTCTGTTTTTTTTTAACAAAGCCTTCCAATGCTTAAATAAAAAAAAAAAAAAGGGGGGGTAGGGGGATGGTTACTCAACATGATGAATGCATTCAATGTCACTGAATGATACAAACATTGTCAAATTGGCAAAAGTTTCTGCAACTAAAAAACCAGATTTGAAACCCTGAAGCTGGTTCAGCTCAGTTACCAGCATCCCCATGGGAGCCCCAGCTGCTCCTTGAATACCTCCCATGACAAGGAACTGAACTTACTCGGCGGCTTAGATATTGTATGAGGACAAGCTTAGTGAGGACCACCAGGAAGGATGACTGCGTTTTCTGCTCCAGAAAATAAACCAACAACCAGGGCAAAGGCTTCCTTCAAAAATAGTTTATTGTGCGTATTTCCTATCATTTCTTCTGTTCAGCTGGAGTCATCACTGGTCTGTCCCCAAACCATGACACCCTCACTTTCCAAAGCAGCAGTGGCTCCTCCCCTCCCACCCCGCTGTGCTCAGGACAGTATGATGGAGGACAGTCACCTCCCACTGTCCCCACATCACCCTCACGTACCAGGGCTGTCATTGGCCGATGGCCAGACTTCTCATTTGAAACTCTGACATCCTCAAGCATCTGGCTTATGTTGTGCCTCTTCCCTGGGTGATCCCCCTTCCAAATGTGAGATTCAGTGTCCTCCGACTGTCCACTACACTCACCATACACATGACAGCTAACTGCCCCCATCGCCAGTAGCTGGGCTGACCAGGGAGGAGGGATGTAGGGGGGCTGAGGACCCCAGGCCCTGGGAGCTATACAGCTTTCAGAGTTAACACTGCTGGGGGTATTGCTAAGTCATTTCTCAATACACTGTGCAGTCCCTGGGAGCCAACAGCTCTGCCCCTAGGGACCTGATCCAGTAATGAAGGTCAAGGCAACAGGTGAGGCTGGATGGGGACTCGAGGAGGCCCTGCTGAGGGATGGGACCAAGAGTGACCATCACAAGCACGTCTGGTGATGCAGGGAGGGTGAGAGGTGATCCTTGTACTCTGGAAGAGAAATGGCAGACCCAGGGTCCTGAGCACCCTAGGGACGGTATGGGGAAATACATCATTCTATTCTCAGTCCAAAAGACTCCACCTTTGTGGCTCTGTAAAATCAGCAATGGCTGCTAATCACACAGTTGGTAGTTCAAACCCACCAGCCGCTCCTTGGAAACCCTAATACAGTGTCTCTAATGAGTTGCAACTGACTCGACAGCACTTGACAACAATCCTTCCTGGGCATCTAGACAATGGCTGAGTTGGTATCCTTTCAAAAGTAGGTCTTCTCTTGTCCACATTTTTCTTTCCTTGGCCTGTTTGTGGTACTGAAATATTCAGGATCCTTACATCAAGAGTAAAAAAATAAAAAGATTTCATAATATGATAGAAAACAGGCCTGGAGTATACCTGGATCCCACAAGCCTGGTGCCAAGAAGCGAGAGTAAACTGGGGGGGTGGGGTGAGGCTGGTTCAATTCACCAAGGCAGCGAAATGTGGTCTCCAGAGATGAGACAAAGCCACGCACACTCCCGACGGCGGAGTGGAGGCTGTTGCTGCTTGCGGGGCAACCCTGAGCCTTTTATTGAGACGGGAGTGGGTGGCAGCCCTGCTCCTCTGTCCTCGAGGATGGCGGCCTGCTTTCTCTGGCCCGTCATCCTGTGAGTGGAAGGGCAGCTCAGGTGGAGGCTGGGCTCTCCATGGTGGACAGGAGGTGCGCAACCTGGGCCCGCTCGGCAGGGCTGACGTGTTGGCTCAAATGGATCATGCAGTCCACGGCCACCTCGGGGTTCTCCTGGACCAGGCTGCAGTGGGGAGAGACAGGCTGGGGTGGGGGTCTGCCATTCGGTATAGGGCGGCCTTGGGGGAAGCTCCCAGCCCCTTCCTGCTGTGGTCATGGGATTAGGGAGGATGGGGGATGTGAGGTCTGGTGAGCAAAATGTCTCACAGTGGGAGAATTGGCTCTGCTGGTCACTAGCTGTGACACCTGAAACCAAGCACATCCTCAAACCTGTCATCCCGCAAGTGGGGTCCCATGTGCTCCACCAGGAATCACACAGAGGACTCCCAAACAGGGGAGCAGCTCTCTGGCAACACTGACTCAGAGAAGGAGGCAAACCCCAACTCTTGAGTTCTGTTCCAACCATGACTCGGACAAGTTACTTCATCCTAACACACCCGCACCCCCAGGCTCTGTGCCTCCCCTGGTGGATGTGTGGGGAAGTGGGCATTAAGGCCGAGATCCCAGGGACCATATAGCGTGGAGGTGTAAGTGGCTGCTGGGGATTCAGGCACTTGAATCCTGGCTCCGGTACATGCTAACAAAGAGGGTGGGCAGGTGGGGCGGCCGCTCACCTTCGGATGGTCTTAAGGACAAAGTCGCGCCTCAGGTACTTGATGTTCTCTCGGATCGTGGACTGCAGGCCGTCTTCCTCCTGCCAGTGCTGCTCCAGCC